ACTAGCAAATTAGTGAATAAGATAAATGGATAAATAAGCTATATAAATAATACTGACCAATGTGATCCAGAGGGACTGGTTGAGGGCTACTTTATTTTAACTTTTTAATTTAAGTTGAATTAATTAACATATAGTGTATTACTACTTTTAGAGGTAGAGTTCAGTGATTCATTAGTCTTATATAACACCCAGTGCTCATTACATCACGTGCCCTCCTTAATGCCCATCACCCATTTAGGCCATCCCCCCACCCCCACCCCTCCAGCAACCCTCAGTTTGTTTCCTATGATGAAGAGTCTCTTATGGTTTGTCTCCCTCTCTGATTTTGTCTTGTTTTATTTTTCCCTCCCTTCCCCTAAGTTCCTCTGTTTTGTTTCTTAAGTTGAAAATATGAGTGAAATCATATAATTGTCTTTCTCTGATTGACTTATTTCAGTTAGCATAATACCCTCTAGTTCCATCCATATCATTGTAAATGATAAGATTTCTTTTTCTTTTTTTTGATGGTTGAGTAATATTCCATTGTGTGTGTGTGAGTGTGTGTGTGTATACCACTTCTTTATCCATTCATCTGTTGATGGGCATCTGGGCTCTTTCCATAGTTTGGCTATTGTGGACATTGCTGCTATAAACATTGGGGTGCATGTGGCCCTTCAGATCACTGCTTTTGTATCTTTGGGGTAAATACCCAGTAGTGCAATTGCTGGGTCATAGGGTACCTTTATTTTTAACTTTTTGAGGAATCTCCATACTATTTTCCAGAGTGGCTGCACCAGCTTTCGTTTCCACCAGCAGTGTAAAAGGGTTCCTCTTTTTCTGTATCCTTGCCAACATTTGTTGTTTCCTGACTCATTGATTTTAGCCATTCTGACAGGTGTGAGGTGGTATCTCATTGTGGTTTTGATTTGTATTTCCCTGATGATGAGTGATGTTGAGCATTTTTTCATGTGTCTGAAGTGCTCTTTTTTAAAGCATAAAAAAGGAAAAAGTTTTGGGGCACATGGCTGGTTTGGTGGGTAGAGCATGTGACTATTGATCTCAAGGTCATGAATTCAAGCCCCACATTGGGTGTGGAGCCTACTTAATTAAAAAAGAAAAAAGAAAAAAGAAAAAGTTTTATATAGCTGGAAAGATTTCAAGACATCCTGAAAGCTTGATTGGGTTTATAGATGAAGATGGTGGAGTAAGGGCATTTATGACTGAGAAAATAAATAAGAGAGAAAGTAAAAGGCAACACCCCCCATGTCCAGCCAAGGTAATGGGGAACACAGGGATGGAGGGGGAATTAGTTAGGGGAGACAGCTTTTTGGAAGCAGAGGAAACAGATTAAGGCCAGATCATGGAGGGCCTTGAACATTGTGAACAAGGTTTAATTAAAAAAAAATTATTCAAGCAAAGGAGTAGTCATACATTTCTCCAAAGAAGATATACAAATGGCCAAGAAATATATGAAAAGATGCTCAACATCACTAATCATCAGAAATGCAAATCAAAACCAAAATGAGATATCACCTCACACCCAATAAAATGGCTACTATTAAAATACATCAAATGTTGGTGAGGATGTGGAGAGATTGGAACCCTTGTGCACTGTTAGCAGGAATGTAAATGGGTATTGCTGCTATGGCAAATAGTATGAAGTTTTCTCAAGAAATTAAAAACAGCACTACCATCAATCCAGCAATACCACTTCTGGGTATATACCCAAAAGAATTAAAAGCAGGGTCTCAAAGAGATATCTGCATATCCATGTTCATAGCAGTATTATTCACAATAGCCAAAAGGCAGACACAACACGCTCTATCAATGGAAGAATGGATAAACATACAATGGCTTTTATTCAGCCTTAAAAAGGAAGAAAATCCTGTCACATGTCACAGTCAGTATGGATGAACTTTGAGGAAATTATGCTAAATGAAATAAGCCAATCACAAAAGGACAAATTCTGTCCAGTTCCACTTGTGTGAAGCACCTCACACAGTCAAATTCATAGAAACAGAAAGTTGAATGATGGTTACCAGGAACTGGAGAGAGGGAGAAAGAGGAATTATTGTTTCATGGGTATTAAGTTTCCAACTTGTAAGATGATGCTCTTTCACAACAATGTGAATGTTCTTAACACTACTAAACTGTACACTTGAAAATGGTTAAGATGGTAAACTTTATGTTTTTTATCACAACAGAAAATTTTTTTGTTACTTAAGTCCTCAAAATCATTATGCTGTTTTTGTATTAAACTTTTATTTATTTTTATTTTTTTAATTTGAGAGAGAGAGAGAGAGAGCAAGCAGGAGCTGGGGAGGTGGAGGGGCAGAAGGACTGAACAGGGAACCCCACTTGGTTCTCCATCCCAGGACCCCGGAGTCAAGACCTCAGCCCAAGGCAGATGCTTAACTGACTGAGCCATCCAGGCACCTTTGTATTAAACTTTTAGAATTTGTGTGTGTGCATGTGTGCATGTGTGCATGTGTGTGTGTGTGTGTGTGTTATGTTGCAGGAAAATAAATGTATCTGCTTGGATCTACGTTAACCTCACTTATCTCCACCCCACCTTTGTGGATCTTGGAAAGTTGTTGCATGGAGCAAGAAGCTAGCCTGAACAAGAGGGCTTTGACACTTACTTTATCACTGTTTATCAGTCTTGAGTTATCAATATCTACATGTTGCAAAAGGTCACTTTATAGTGGCTTTTTCTTTTTTTTTTTATAGTAGATTTCCAAAAAAAATGAGGTCTTATTATAGGACCTCTTTTACCCCATCCTTATGTGAGTCCTAAGATACTTTTCTAGCATAAACTTTTGTAGTTTTATACATTTACATGATGTTTAGGCCCAATTCCTTTTTTTTTCCAGATAGAAATTGATTGAACTTTATTGAGCCTATGTGGCCTGATAAGTGGTCAAATGTTGTAAATGTTCCATTTGGGATTTTTAAAAAAGTGTGTATCCTCTTTTTGTATGTGTACAACTTCATGTATACAAATATATTCACATTATTCACATTCATTTTATATATATTCATTAGAATAAGAAGCTTTTACATTTTTCAATTAGTAAGAGACTTGTAGACCCAATAAATTTTAATTACTAAATTTAATATATTCAAAAGATAAAAGATAAATAATATATTTGATATATAAGGTTGCCTCCTACTTTATATGGATTAAACAAACTACAATTAAATGATTTGGCAAGTGATTATTTAGTGTTTAATATTTCATTATTTCACTGTTGCATAATCTATATTATAGGTATTAAATAACATAAGAACACATAAGGTGATTAAATATTTAATCAATTTAATATTTATCTTCTACGTTGGGTAACAAGTACTGAGCTAAAGCATGTAATTTTCAATGTGCTTAACTTTAGAAGCCTTGTGTATTCACTTTTATAATTACTCATTATTTATTTTAAATTTAATCTTATTTTTGCTTTTTAGAACTTTCCTGCTACAGTTATCTATATTCTGTGTAAACACTAGAGAGATACTCTTCATTGTCCCAAACTGGTTCACTTTACATGACCTGAACTTGAGAAGCTAATGTTTCTCAGGTTTCAAGGCAACATACTAAACGTATGGGAGCACCTACTGGTGAAGGGTGATACAGTCCTACAGACTGGTTTCTACTGGACCTTGTCATTTAGACCAAGTTGGAGGGCATGAGGATTATGAAGTCTTTAAATGTGTAATCAAGGCAATCCTGCTGCGAGAAAATGCTTATTGCTTAAATGTTGCAACAGAGTGGTCGTAGGCAGGAAATACAAGAGTTGAGAAGATATTACAAAACAAATATGCCATGTAGATGGGACACAACATCCAAGGGGCATACAGTTGTTTAACATTGGGGTACTAAAATGTTTCGTGAGGACTGAGACCAGGTCTGTGCTGTTCACTTAGAATCCCTAGCACAATAAATGGTACCTTGAATGTGTCAATAAATATTTACTGGTTAACCAGTTTGGACATTTGTTCCTCAAAACATGTGAAAATTTGCCTTTTGTTCTCCTTCTCCCATATGATTGCATTCAACATTTATAATACAAACAATGAAAATGTAACTTATGTGACAAGTTTCCTTTTTAGATGAAAAAAAAGTATGTTTGGTTAACCAGAAACCTTGAGCCAGTGAAAAATATACTTATAACTGTAGAGTTTAAAACAGTTATAATGAAAATTGACCTAAACTAATTAAAAGGAAAGTGATGGGGAGTTGCATAGACTTCGTAATCAAATATTGCTAGGTTCAAATTTCAGCTTTATAGCTTAGTAGCTGTATGAGGTTGGATGATTACTTAACCTTTCTGTCCTCACTTTCCTCTTTTATTAAATTACAGTTTTGTGAAGATGTAATGAGTCAAATATATGCAATGCTTTGTGCCTTCTTGGTAAATAAATAGTAGCTATCGACTTTTTCTTCTCAGGGTACTCATTTTCCTGATTTTCAGTGGACAGTAAACTTCTTTGGACAAGGACCATATTTTATTTATTCCTAGAACCTATCACAGTGCCTAGCATAGGCTGGTTCTTAATAAGTAAGTGTGTGTTGAATTAATAAAGAAAATAAATACTTAAGCAACTATTTGGGGACTATTATTCATAGTACTACATAAGGTTGCACATCATACAACTTGTAAATGAAGTGTATGTAGACACATACCCAATAGTCATTTAAAATATAGAAATAGGGCATTTTCTACCCCTGGAAAAATTTGTAATTCCTTTGATTAATCAAATGTTTTTGATGATGATTAAGGAATTCGCAAGAAATGTTGAGTTCAAGTAACTGCTCATTGGACAGAGACTATACTATAGAGTATTCACCCATAGCCACATTCTAGCTTAGCTACATAGTGATTTTTACCCTGAAGGACATTTTTCTCACTTGCTTTCATTAACACAAGCCCTGTGTATAAGTGTAGATAACTGGTTTTGGAAATTTCACGATAAAAACTGTAAAGCAGTTTAGTACTTGGTAATCAGGAAAGGCACCAACAATGGAAGAAGGGATTTGCTTTTAATAAAAATATTTTATACATCCATCTGAAAGTTCTCATGTGGCAAACATGACAAGTACAACTCTAAAACATATTTGACATACCTAAAGGTATATCGGCAGAAATGTCAATACCCTGGGTTATATGAAAGTACTGTACATTTCTAAATGAGAATACTATTTGCCCATAAAGTAATTCTATCAAAGTCATCTCTTTTAATCAATGATTTAATAATCATTACCATTTTCTGTGCATCTCAGAAGTGTATAACATTCTCCAATCTAGGTTCCAGTGTGTAACAAATTTTTCTAGGCTTATGGAATCAAAAAATTATTCCAAACAGATTTTAATAGGCTAAGCCTATTGCCAAATATGAAATTATACTTGGGGCCAATGTCTCAAATAAAAAACTAACATATTCATTTATACCTTTACTGGTAGAGCAAAGTTTGACACAAAACCCAAATTACTGTCAAGGGAAAACCATTCCTATTATAAACAAATGTAAACTTGAGTTGAATATCAGGATATATCATTTTCCTTGAGATTCGTGGAGAGGGATTTTTTAAACATTATTGTGTTTACCAGAACACACACTATTTTAGACTCATGCTTGGCCTAACACTACATGATGGAGAAATAAAATGCAACATTTTCATGGAATGCAACTTATTTTCCAAGTTCAAAAGTTAGCCAAAAATGCCCATTTACAAATCTAAGCTCCATTAAACTTACAGCTTTCTTTGACAAAACACCCAAATCCCAGAAGTCAAAAATTTGCGCAAATAGATGGTAAATACATGGTAAAAGTACTTTGAAAATTGAAATTATTTTCTTTTTCCTTTCCACATCCACCCTCTTTAATTTCTCAATCTTGTTCACATTTTTTTGTAAAATATAAGAATTGTAAAATATGGTATACTCATTGGACCATTTTGGAATTAGTTAAATGGTACATCAAAACAAATTCAAATCACAGATTTTTTTCCCCTCCAAGTTAAAGGATATTTGTCCGTGATGAAAATTCAGAAAATAAATAGGCACAAAAAAGCTCATGTAAAACATGTTTTTCTTAGAACTGTAACATTTAAATTACAGTGTGTGCAGTGTTAGTACAGAATTTTAAACATCCTCGAATCCTGTACATTATAAATAATGAATCCTATTTACTTCAGCTCACTGGTAGAATGTATCAAATAAGGGATAATTACAAATCTAATATTTGTTTTGGCATTCATTTCTAGGTTTCAAAACACAATATATCATGTCCTAAATGCTTTATTTTTCAATTGTGAATTAAGGCATGGAAATTATGCACGTTTCAAATGAGGACTTTTCATTTTCTTCTTGTACCTTGAAAAGTTAAAACACTTGCCTCAGACTGTTCCCTACAGCAGTAGAAACTGAATAACTGCTAATACAGAAGTTAAGATTAATGGATGATTGTTATCAAATTTAAGTTTTGGCTCTGTGAATTTTTTTAAACCTTTGATACCTGCCTCACTTTTCTAATAGGAAGTAGCAGTACCTGACAAAAGGATATGAATACCTAAAGATACTAACAGAAAAACCTAGACAGTTGTACTGATTATGATTTTATACTGCATTCCTTCATATGAGATGGTTACATTTATCCATAACTAACAATGTCTTAATTAGCATGGCAGAATTGAGAATGTGAAAATGTCATGCTGTTCAACTACAGTCATCATGAATGACTTCCAGGTACTCTACCACCTGAGAAAGTCTGGGAATCACTGACATAGCATTGATTACGGTTGTGTCTAAATATGTAAATAAATCCCCAAACCACTAACAACCGATCATTCTCATTTTTCCTGGCCTATCAACATGATGGCATTGGCAGTAGGAGATTAAAATGCCAGGTCTGGCTTGTGCACTTCCAATGTCAGGGCACACGAATAGGTAAGATTTATTTTGTATGGACTATTCCATGCAGATTCTTTCTCATTATGTTCACTAAATATTAAATTTACCTATAACACAATGAATTTCCCCTCTGATTGCTGGCTGTAGAGATACGTTAATATTGAGTATGAGTGCATAGTTGCTGAAAAATTTGATAACTTTCTTGGCTCATTTTATTTTTTTAATTTTTTAATTTTATTTATTTATTTATTTATTTTTCTTGGCTCATTTTAAACCACAGCCCAGTGACCTTTCTTTCCACTTTGTATTTAATTTCCACATCTTGTAAACAATAACCAAATAATAATACCACTAACATTACCAAATCTATTTTCTTTTCAACATCTCATCTAACTTATATTGAAGTTATAGCCCAGTTAGATTTCGAGGATGATAGTGGAAAGTAGAAATAGCACTGGATCAAGGAATCAGGAGAACTTCATTTGATCCTTGGATCTGTCCCTAAATAAATTGCATAATTAAGGCAAGTCTGAGTGTCAATTTTCTCAAAAGCGAGTGAGGTAAATAATAGTTCCCTCAAAAGATTGCCATAAGAATTAAAATGAAATTATATAAATGAGGATTGTAAATTATAAAGTGCTTTTTCATTGTACATTATTACTACTGTGATTTTGAGAATCCCTATATTCTATTATAGCACTGCTATTTAAAAATGTGGTGGACTCCTCCTTTGAGCACAAAAACAAGCTGAGTATTTCTGGACAGAAGTTGCAGTAAATAATGCTGCCAAGCAAAGTAACAGGCTGAGACATACATTGTTTGGATACTCCTTTTCTGTATTGGCAATTCGCTTCTTAAAATGAATGAGTTTATTAACAAATATGTAAGATTCTCATTAAAACTAATTTGTTATGTGCTCATAGTAAGATGTTCAAAATCTAAAATTTAAAAATATGGCATTTTATACATCTTTAGCCATGCTTCTTTCTTTCAACCACTGCCATTAAAATAATTTTTTTCATATTGAAATTATTTATTAAGCTGTCAGCTATTTTGTATACAGGGTTTCGTTGATCACGAGTAATGATGAACATGAATTCTACCTATTAAACCGAATAACCATAAGTGGACTGAAATGTTACTCAAACTTCTAATTTTATGCACCTGGTTTCAAACCATATACTGTTCTTAAGTTGTTCCATCCTCAAGATATCTTCCATGTTTGTTAAGAACTTCAGGCACATCACATACACATGGTAAATCTGGTATTCTTCATAAATTCACCTAGAAAATCCTGTTTGACAGGTGAATTATGCCTTCACTAAGAATTAGTATAAGCCAAAATGACTAATCTCACATAACGCATCTGTTTATTTTCTTCTGAAAAGTCAGATCATATATTTCCTTGATGCTAAAATTTTATAAAACACTTCTTACTTCCTTATTTTCTTTGTGCTTAGCTTAAACACAATGCATGCACTGTAACAGACTGTCTTTGAGTCTTTACCTAAAAAGTAACTTTTAAAACATGTCAAAACAAATTAGGATGTCTCATCTTCATTTGTTATTGTTTTCAGCACTGAGTCTTCTCCCAAAATTTTACATAGTTCATTGAGTCTCTGTTGCATTTTGGGAATTCCAGCTAGCTGAGCTTCTAGCTTTTGTTTTTCTTCACTCAGTGTTAAACGGATAGCAGTATCCAATTGTTCAAAGCGCCAACCTCCTTCGCCATCAAACTGTAATAAATGAGTGTGGTATTTCCTGCATAATTAAAATGAAATAATATTATTAGCAATAATTGTGAAAAGCCATTTTAGGTTTATCATTCCAGTTGATATTCAAAGGCAAATTTTAAGTAAGGTGCCTATTTTACATTTGATTTTCAAGAATCCCTCAAGAGGTTGAATATTGTGATTTTTTTTTAACTCCAGAAGTCATTGATCTCTTGGAAATTCTATTGCTTATATTAAACTTCTTTTATATTCTGAATGTATATGAAGTACTAAGGAAGACATGCTGTTTCTATCTATTTAATTTATCTTCAAACCCACTATGACTCCTGAATAAATATCAAAGCTTAGTTAGAATGGGAATAAGGAAAGGAAGCTGAGGAAAGAAAGTAAAAATTTTAGAGGTTATACAGGAAAAAAAAAATCTAAGAAAAATAAAGGAAATACAAAGGGTGGCTGGGTGGCTCAGTCAGTTGAGCGTCAGACTCTTGATCTAAGTTTGGGTCTTGATCTCGGGGTTGTGAGTACCATGCAGAGTGTGGAGCATATTTAAAAAAAAAAGTTTTAAAACACTTTTTAAAAATAAACTCTTTGATAAAAATCTTTTAAAGATACTTCCATGCCTTCATATAATTTAATCTACTTTCTCATGGCTCTGGTTCATAATTAGAAATTTCAGACAGGCATAGAGATTATTTTGTTGATGAGACAAGAGACAATCCATCTAGTCCTGAAGAGAGGCTAAAGTCACTCTGGTTTCTGGGATTTGTGGGGAATGTGTGGAGAGAGTAATGCTAGCAGAGTTGGCCTTGCATGGTTGAGCCCCTCCATTTTGTCACTATGCTGAAGTGGCCCATGTTCCTATGTGTCCCCAGTTTTCCTGTCTTTTCCTTATAGTTTTTCTTGCTTCTTTTTTTTTTAAGATTTTATTTATTTATTTGAGAGAGAGAGAATGAGAGAGAGAGCACATGAGAGGGGGGAGGGTCAGAGGGCAAAGCAGACTCCCTGCCAAGCAGGGAGCCCAATGAGAGACTCGATCCTGGGACTCCAGGATCATGATCTGAGCCGAAGGCAGTTGCTTAACCAACTGAGCCACCCAGGCGTCCAGTTTTTCTTGCTTCTTGATCCCTTTTAAGCTCTCATCTGTCATTATTTACTATGATCAGTGGGGTTATTTCAAGTAGATTTACTTCCTTTTTTAAACAAGATATAATTCACATGCCATAAACTTATTCTTTTAAGTGTAAAATTCAGTGATTCTTATTTGATTCACAAGCTCATGTAACCATCACTATTATCCAATTCCAGAATATTTTCTTTATCCCCAAAAGAAACCCCATACCTATTAGCAGTCCCTACCCCCCCCCCCCCACCACCACTCAGCCCCTGCCAATCATCAGTTTCCTTTCTGTCTCTCTGGATTTGCCTATTCTGGGCATTTCATATACTGTAATCATATAATATGTGGCTTTTTGTGACTAACTTCTTTCACTTAAAATGATTTCAAAGTTCATCTAGTTGTAGCATGTATTAGTATTTCCTTCATTTTTATGGCTGAATAATATTCCACTGCATGATTTTACATACTTTGTTTATCTATTCATCAACTGAAAAACCTCTGGTTTCATCTCATTTTGATTGGATGGATCATGCTGTAAGATGGGGAAACTAACCTGTGTTAAACTGTGTCTAAAAGAGTAAAAATCACTCTCAAGCTGAAGGTTGAAAGTTCATGTTTTTGATAACATATGATAGAGATGAATGATCTTGTTTTTAATATTCTTGGGCTTTCCTAATGTTGGATTACAACTGGGAGCAATTTTAGAATGCAGTAGTTCTGATCTTGGGCAACTCCTGTCTTCAATGTATAATGAAGGTTTGGCTCGTCGCTCCAGTCCCACAACATTATTTGATTTCTACATGGGAGGAAGAAAATGTATGGGTGCTTCATGACCTGAGATTCAGAGGTATGTTATATATAATGGACTAAAATAATATTTCAGGGTTTGCCTTAGAGGATTTTAAAGGAAACTATTAACTGAGGCTCGTTGGAAATAATCTGTAGACTTCCTGCACTAATAGGATCAAGCTTAGGAAAGTGGTAGGTATAAAGCTATAATTCTATCCAGGAATCAAATAATTTAATAAGGTTCTATAATTGTTGAGCTCTTTGTATACTGATATTGATTTTAATCTTTACAATCAACAATTACCCCTTTGCTGTTATGGGGAAAATATAATACATTTTTTTCTCTCTTCTGAAATCTTTTCAGGGAAAATAAGAATTTCATCTAGGAAGAAAGGCTAATCAGAAATGATGGGTCTCTTCAACCTACAACGTCTAAATTAATTCATAATGCAGAAGTAACATGACTTTTAGTTTTATGGGAAAATATACTATGAATAGCTGCAATTAAAAACATTTTTCTTGTTAAAAGGCACAAAATTACAGATTTTGTTATTCTCTTTAAAATTCATTTGTCCTGTATACACCTATTAAAATGGCCAAACATCCAGTACACTGATAACACCAAATGCCCACAAGGCCGTGGAGCAGCAGAAACTCTCATTCATTGTTGGTGGGATTGCAAAATGGTACAGCCACTTGGGTAGACAATTTTGCAGTTTATTAAAAAACTAAACATACTCTTACCATATGATCCAGCAAATTGCACTCCTTGATATTTACCCAAAGGAGTTGAGAAAACTTGTGTCTACCCAAAAACCTTTATATGAATGTTTCTAGCAGATTTATTTATAATTGCCCAAACTGGAAGCGACCAAGATGTCCTTTAGTAGGTGAATGGATAAATAAACTGTTTACATCTAAACAATGGAATATTATTCAGTGCTAAAAAGAAATGAGCTATTGAGCCATGAAAAGACATGGAGAAAATTTAAATGAATATTACTAAGTGAAGAAGCCAAACTGAAAAGGCTACATACTATATGATTCCAGCTATATGACATTCTGAAAAATTATGGAGACATTAAAGATAGTGGTTTCTATGGCTTGAGGGAAGGGAGGAATGAATAGGAAGAGCACAGAGAATTTTTAGAACAGTAAAAATACTCTGTACAATACTGTAAGGATGGATATATGCAACTATAAATTTGTCCAAACACATAGATTGTACACCACCAAGAGTGAACCCTAATGTAAATTATGGACTTTGGGTCATAATGATGGGTCAGTGTAGGTTCATCGTTGTAACAAATGTATCACTCTAGTGGAGAATGTTGATAATACGGCTATGCATGTATGGGGGCAGAGTATATGGGATATTTCTGTTCCTTCCTCTCAATATTTCTGTGACCATAACATTGCTCTAAATAAAATCTTTAAAAACACAACAACAATAAAAACCCATTTGTTCCTTCAATTGAGAAAAAAAATGGCTGAACATGCTTCCAATGACTCTTTAGGCTACTTGAATAAGGAACTGAATGACATAATAGGATAATAAATCCATTGATAAAGTCAGAAAAAGCACCAGAACTAAGACATAACTCCATGTTATCCCAACATGTGATCAATTAGGAAGGATGTCTGGAAATGACAAGTCCATACCAGAAAGGGCTCAAGAGTTCTGGCGTGGTTCTGTCATCACTGATTCAGGGATTTATAGACAAATGTCATGTGTCGTGAAAGTCCAGTTCCTGTTGGTTTTTATCAAGGGAAAAGTCAGAGGAATCACACTTATTGCCATGTACTCATCCTGGACTAGATCCAGACTGCTTCTGGAGAGATTAGTAAGTCAGGCTCTTATCACTCCAGATGCCAGTTAGTGCTTAATGACAAAGAGACAAACCACAAAGTTCTAAAGAAAAGGTCACTTCATGAAATGTTCTATTTTCAGGTCACCTGAGGGAAAAAATTTTGAAAAATTTGAATGTTTAAATGAAGAGTGAAAATAGATTATTATCGTCTCAATAGAAGTAGAACACAGAATCAAAGAATGTTGAACAATGAGAGCCTGATCTGAACTGCACACTCAGTTAACTCATAATTTTAAAGAGTAAACATTATCAATACAGTGAAAAGTCTAGAAGGGCTTCCAGGATTAATTCCAATAAAGCTTGTTACTCAGCCTAGGTTGGAAGTCACGTACATGACGACAGCTTTGGCATAGAATGTGATTAGCCACCTGCTACAGAGAGGGGAGAAGTCCTTTCTGTCCCTTGGAAAATAGGAGGCTAATGCGTATAGAGTCCACTGTAGTTACTAATATACCAAAAGAAAAGATTTTGATTGATGAAACAGAAATATCCAAGTAGTGGAGTATACTATGAATGAACAAGTGTTTTTATGGCTTACATATACGGTGCATTTTGAGTTCCTTATAATAAGAAGAGCAGCATACTATAGTATAGAGAGTGTGATCATGGAAGTTACTTTCCTCATTTTTCTAGTTCTCAGTTTCTTCATCTGTAAAATGGGAATAATTAGACTACCTATACTCAATATAGTGTTGTTATGCGACTTAAAATAAAATGAACCTGGAACAGAATAGGTGCTGAATCTGCAACAGCAACTATTATTATGGCGATGAATCAGTACAAAAGTAGGGGAATGGTAAAAATAGTGTTATCATTTTTTTTTAAAGATTTTATTTATTTATTTTGACAGAGAGAGAGACAGCGAGAGAGGGAACACAAGCAGGGGTAGTGGGAGAGGAAGAAGCAGGCTTCCCGCTGAGCAGGGAGCCCGATGTGGGACTCGATCCCAGGACCCTGTGATCATGACCTGAGCCGAAGGCAGATGCTTAACGACTGAGCCACCCAGGCGCCCCTCATTTTTTTTAAAATAGGGGAAATCCCATTGAGTTTAATGAGCTGTTATTTAGAAAATATTTTCATTCATTTTTCCTTAAAACAAAACCCTTCCCCCCAAAAAGCTTTGTCCCCCTGTGTTTTCTCCATTTGGGAGAATATTAAATTGTGGAATTTTTTTTCCTGGATTTTGTAAAAGGGGCTAAAAAGATGATATAAAATTACATAAATATATTTTTCCCTGTACGTGATATGCATTATGAATATTTTCAGTTAAAAAAAAATCACTGGATTTTTCTATTTCTTTTCAGAATTATTGGAATGTGATAACCATTTTCTTTTCTTTTTCTTTTTTTTTTTTAAAGATTTTATTTATTTATTTGACAGAGAGAGAGATAGCAAGAGCAGTAACACAAGCAGGGGGAATGGGAGAGGGAGAAGCAGGCTTCTTGCCGAGCAGGGAGCCCGATGTGGGACTCGATCCCAGGACCCTGGGATCATGACCTGAGCCGAAGGCAGACGCTTAACGACTGAGCCACCCAGGCGCCCGATAACCATTTTCAAATAGCACATTAATCTTACAATGTTAGGTTTAGGGTATCTACACTACCAGTGTTCAATTTAACAGAAATATGGGTAGAAAATAAGTGAAATATCCTATGCTCTATAGTGAAAGTTTAGGCAAAGTTATCCTCTGAGAATTGTAAAGAAAAACCGTCTATCGCAAATTAACATTGGGAACACTCACCACAGAGAAGGCCTGTGTGTTATAGATAGTAAGGAAATTCCAGCTCCTTTTGCAGCCTGAAATATCTTTCCTTCAACATCAATGCTGACAGCACTGGTACATTCATCCAGCAATGCGTATTTTGGTCTTGAAAAAAATAAACACAAATAAATGAAAGATTTTCCCATTCGAATTATAAATCTTTACATGGACAATATGAGTTGCAACGTTAACTTCATTAATTTATTTTTTTAAGTACGCTCTACACCCAACGTGAGAGCTTGAACTCACAACCCCAAGATCAGGAGTCACATGCTCTACCGACTGAGCCAGCCAGGTGCCCCACAATGTTAACTTAAAAGGAGCAAAAGAGTATATCACATTATTAAAGGTCATAAATGATAAAGCAAAAGAGCAGTCATCCTCCCTCTTTGGATTAGAATATTATATTCTTCTGCAATTTTAAATAGATTTCCTGATGCCCGCTCGCTATACAATAAGCTTTATTGTTATGCAGATGGATGAATCATGGGTATGAGACATAGGAAAGATGAGGCAGGTCACTGAGTGCATTTTCCCACAGAAGGCAAGTTCATTCCTGGTGACAGGTTCTGACTAATTACATGAAAAATACATTACAGTAGCTACTTATCAAACAGGCCAAAAGCCCTGTTAGCAAAGATTTATTGAGAAGATAACTTTATCAACAATGTAAGTACCAAAGCATGATTAACGGAATTTCGTTGCTGCAAGATTCTGCAAAAGGTAGTGTGCCTAATCTGACAAATTTAGAGTGGGCATTTAACCTGGTAACATTGAGACCATGCTTTGCAATCAAATTCTTAAGGGGAAAAAATCGGTATATATTTTTTCTGATTATACTCAGTAAGTTATTTTTCTAGTTCGATTTTTACTTTGGAAATGACTTTCCACTACTGTCAGAGGCATCTAACGTTTGCTACCATTTCCTTCTGTTTATTCTCTTCCTTTCTTCTAAGCCCCCCTGCTCTTATCTTTCTTTTTTCCTTTCCCTGTCTTCGTTCAAGCCTATCTGGACTTTAGGTACGTATTCGGTACTCAGCAACATGACTTAGCTTTGTTAATGGGACCAAAGGTCAACACATGCAGTGTCATCTATTATTTATTTCAGAGCTGAAAATCAGTATCAAGTATTTACCAAGACAATTTCCTCCATGAAGATACTCTGATCTTTAAAAATAAATGACAATGAAAAGGTAAACATTAAAGCCAGTAATAACTTCTCCTTCACCATACTTATTTAGCACTTTAAATTGTTTTTATAAGCTGGATTTATTTACTGGTAGGATCCTGTTACCTATTCCAGGGAGGATAGTCAAGGCTAATAGATGCAGGAGTCAAGATATCTTTAACACCCCGTTTGACTTTAATAACTGCTCTCCACGCAAAGAAATGAAAGATCACTGGAGATTCCCCATAACATCAACAGAAATAGTGCTGGTTGGCTTTTGGTTACTGTTCTGATTAACTATTAAGCACTACTTCTTTGTCTCAGAGTTGGTTACTATTTTGTGTATAATTTTTTTTAAGTAGAAAAAAGGGAGAAGAAAAGGAAGAATAAAAGAGAGCAATTTGAGATAAATTTTTCTTTTTCTGTGTAAATCTCTTTCTAGTAATTTAGTTATTTATTATACTGTATCATTTTTCAGAGTGCTTTGAGCTAAACAGAGAAGAGATGCCATCTTAGAATTAGAAATAAAGTATATATCTTACACTCAGTTGTCATGGTAATCCTTAAGCTAGCAGATGCAAGATAGATTCCATACTTTTGTTCCTTTGTTTTCTTGGCGGAACTGGGGTGTGTGTGTGTGTGTGTGTGTGTGTGTGTGTGTGTGTTGCTCATCTTCACGGATCTCTCTATAGGTCACTAAATTTTCTTTCTATTGGTATGCTTGTAACTTGATATTTATTTAATCTCACATTGTATCCAAAATATTTTAGATACCAAGTATCAACTATTTATTTCAAGTTACAAGTACTTAAAAATCTCTTTGGGTTGAGATTAATGCCTCTTGCTCTTTGTTACAGGGTTTATTTTATTAACACACCAACACAGTGAGAAATTTATCATCGCATTTTACATTCCATCATATTATATTTCACCCACTATGCTGGTGATCATATTACTGAATATTTATGGACAAGGCTCAAACAGATTCAGGGGATAGTGGGTTAACAGCTGGTCATAAATGTCAAACAGTAAAGTTTACTCTTGAATCTCACCAGATCATCTGAGAAAGGGGCATTCTAAAATACACTGCACTAAAAATTCTGAGTTAGCAAATTTTGGTTTGTAATTTTTTAGCTTGCCATATTCATTTTTAAAAGTTTTTATTTAAATTCTAGTTAGTTAACATACAGTGTGATATTAGTTTCAGGTGTACAATGTAGTGATTCAACACTTACATACATCACCTGGTGCTCATCACAATAAATGTCCTCCTTAATCCCCTTCACCTATTTCACCCATCCCCCCACCTACCTCCCCTCTGGTAACCATCACTTTGTTCTCTATAGTTAAGAATCTCTTTCTTGATTTGCCTCTTTTTCTCTCTTTTTTTCCCTTTGCTCATCTGTTTTGTTTCTTTTTTTATTATTATTATTTAAATTTAATTAACCAATATATAGTACATCATTAGTTTCAGGTATAGAGTTCAGTTATTGATTAGTTGCATATAACACCCAGTGCTCATCACATCACGTGCCCTCCTTAATGCCCATCACCCAGTGTTTTGTTTCTTAAATTCCACATGAGTGAAATCAATATGATACTTGTCTTTCTTGGACTGACTTATTTTGCTTAGCATAATACTCTCTAGCTCCATCCATGTCAATGCAAATTAGCTTGCCATATTCTTGAGCTAACCATGCACATTATTATAAATACCATGTTATTTTTTTCTTTTTCTTTTAATTTTTTTATTTAAATGTAACTTAGTTAACATATAGTGTATTATTAGATTCAGGGGTAGAATTTAGTGCTTCATCAGTTGCACATCACACCCAGTGCTCATTCCATCAAGTGCCCTCCCAAATGCCCATCACCCAGTTACCCCATCCCCCCACCCACATCCCCTCTAGCAACTCTGTTTGTTCCCTGTAGTTGAGAGTCTTTTATGGTTTGCCTCCCTCTCTGTTTTATCTTATTTTATTTTTCCTTCCCTTCCCCTAGGTTCATCTGTTTTGTTTCTTAAATTCCAAATACCATGTTATTAATACAATATTTTTTCTTATTAAAAAACTCTAGCTAGATGCTACATACAGGCCCAAAATAGAGTCACTTGTGCTAGGTCCATGTCACCAAACTGGGGCTTAATATCCAACCTAATTGCAGGTTCAACCTTCTCCAGGAATGTAATCTGAACTGGTCAGTCTAGAATTTCCTGGTCAGCATTGGTGAGGTAATCCACCTAATTAAGACCCTTTAGACTCCCTGTAAGAGGTGAGTTTGTTCATGACTTCCTTGTCCTACTTTTAAAAACTATTCCCTTTCTGTAGCCCTCTGGAGCTCCTCTCTACTTGCTAGATGGGATGCTGTCTTATTCATGAATTGTTCAATAAAGCCAATTGTTTCTTTAAAATTTACCTGAATTTTTGTTATTTAACATAGGTAATGAGAAAATAGATTTTTTTTTACTTATCTAAATTTTCTACTTTCATGAAATGTACATATAATTATATTTTAATAAAATTATTTAAATATGTTCCTTTTTCAATGATAAATATATGTTATATTCTTATTAAAAAGGCTAAACTAAAATATAATTAAGCTTTTAGCTCTAATTTCTAGTTTATAAGAAAAATAGGAGATTAAAGAAAGAGGTAAAAGATTCCATGAGGAAGTAATCAGATCTAGAATGAGGAATATTCTTATGGGACAACTAACCCTATTTCTTTTTTTTTTTCTTATATCTTCTTTTATTTTTTTATTTAAATTCTAGTTAGTTAATATACAGCTCAATATTGGTTTTGGGAGTAGAATTCAGTGATTCATCATTTACATACAACATTCAGCTCATCACAAGTGATGATACCCATCACCCATCTAGCTCCTCTCCCATCACTTCCCTCCATCAACCCTCAGTTTGTTCTCTATCTCTAATCCTATTTCTTTAGCAAATCAATGACATACAAGATTGGAGGGTGAGTGGTGGTGGGACACGGAGTAGCAGAGACCTTAGTTTAAAAATGATTAAAAGATATAACAATAAAATTCAATATGTTTGAACAAATCAACTATAAAAAATATTTTTGAGACAATTAGTGAAACTTTGAATATGAGCCTGGTATTAGACGACTTTAATTTTTATCAATTTTATTAGTTATGATTATAAGGTAGTTATTATGTAAGAAAATATTCTTATATTTTCTTGATGCCACAGTTTTTAGGAAAAAATGCCATGATATTTGGGATTTGCTTTAAAACACTTCAGAATTAAAAATAAAAATAGATAAATTAAGTGTGGTAAAATGTTGCACTTGGTGAATCAGTGTGGTGGGAATGTGGGATTCAACTTACAATTTTCTCTTTGATGGAGTTTTGATGTTTTTTCCATAATAAAAGGTTTTTTAATTTTTTAATTTTTTTAAAGATTTTTTATTTATTTATTTATTTGACACAGAGAGAGAGATAGTGTGAAAGAGAGCACAAGCAGGGGGAGCGGCAGGCAGACAGAGGGAGGGGGAGAAGCAGGCTCCCCGCTGAGCAAGGAGCCTGCTTCCTGAGCAAGGAGCCCAACGCAGGCCTCCATGCGGGACTCCATCCCAAGACCCTGGGGTCATGACCTGAGCCAAAGGCAACCACTTAACTGACTGAGCCACAAAGCGCCCCAATAAAAGTTTTTTTTAAAAAATTGATAGCCAACTGATCATTAAGTGTGGGCTAACTGGTTGCTAAGTATTTAATGAGGCTTCCATGATATATATATATTTTTTTTGCTCCTTTTATCAGTTTTTTAAAGTTCCCTACAAAAGTATTACTGCTTCTACTGCAACTCCTTCAGAATGTCACATCTGCCCCAGTTTACAACAATAAACTGTGCCATTTAGGCATTCATGTACATAACTCTTGGTCCTTTTCTCCCTAAGATGGTTATTAACACTGAGTCACATAATTCCTGATTTCCTCCTGCTTTGCATACAACTCTGATTCTCATTGCCAGAGGCCTAAGATTAAGAGAAAGAGACAGAGGCAGAGAGAGATCTTTTTCAGAAAAGAATAGGACAGATAAGAAGAATATTTCAGAATAGGTTTAATATTTCTTTCCAGCCTCTTGTGCTTGGTATCCTTGAACCTCAAAAGGCTATGAAGCTGGGGCGCCTGGGTGGCTCAGATGGTTAAGCGTCTGCCTTTGGCTCAGGTCATGATCCCAGGGTCCTGGGATCGAGTCCCGCATCGGGCTCTCTGCTCCTTGGGAGCCTGCTTCTCCCTCTGCCTCTCTCTCTCTCTCTCTCTCTGTCTCTCATGAATAAATAAATAAAAATCTTAAAAAAAAAAAAAAGGCTATGAAGCTGATTGCAGAGAGAAAAGTTTTATCAAGAGAAATTATTTGCTGTATCTCTCTTTTTCTGAGTCTATTAAGACCTATGCTGGTTGGTTCCTTTTTGCATTAGATAAGTGTCTGATTTTTAAGGAGGAGAGCACTACTGAGCTTAAAAGACTACTGAGTGCTTGAAAAGTTAATTTAGTTTGAATTTAATAATTTAATTCAGAAGTAGTATTGAATGCCTACCTACTGTGTTCACAATATAATAGTAGTTATGTATTCATCACATTTTAAAATTAGTAATAATCTTTTCAAACTTAGGATATGTGAAAATTTAATTTTGTCATCTAACATTACTCAACCTAAGAAATAGAAAAAAAGACTGGGAGATTTCCAACACATGAAAAAAAATAACAAGAAAATTAAACCTGTAAATTCTAAGCATTTGTTTTTCCTTTTTTCTTTCTTTTTTATTTGAGTATAGTTGACACACAGTGTTACATTAGTTTCAGGTATACAACAGTGATTGGACAAGTTTATACATTAGGCTATGTTCACCGCAAATGTAGCTGCGTCTGTCACCAGACAACACTATTACAATGTCACTGACTATATTCCTTATGCTGTGCCTTTTTTCTGTGATTTATTCATTCCATAACTGGAAGCCTGTATCTCCCACTCTCTTTCACCCATTTTGCCCACCCCTCCATTCCCCAGGAAGATATTTTTAAACTAAAGATAAGGACATAGAATCCTGTCCAAAGATTTTTTTTAGTTACAACGATGGCATACTTACCTGTGATAAAACATGCGAGCCATGCCCATTCTTTGCTTTTCCCCTCCTGACAGAACATCTTTCCAGTCCATAACAGCATCCCATCCTTAAAAACATATAACAATATATATTTTTATAAGGCATTTGTTTAATCGTTACTGTTTTTACCCTGGCAAGTTTAAATTATTGACACAAAGGACCTCGTATTTTACAGAACATATGCTTGGATAAACTAGAGGGCCTCATTTATAAGCATTTTGTTTTAGATTTCATATTTTTTTTAATTTTTTTAAAGATTTTATTCATTCATTTGACAGAGAGAGAGACAGTGAGAGAGGGAACACATGCAGGGGGAGTGGGAAAGAGAGAAGCAGGCTTCCGGCTGAGCAGGGAGCCCAATGCGGGGCTCGATCCTAGGACTCTGGGATCATGACCTGAGCCAAAGGCAGACACTTAACAACTGAGCTACCCAGGCACCCTGGATTTCATATTTTTTAATGGTAATAATTTCTTATACTGATAAAACATGTTCTAAGAATTCCAAATACGGACACTTTTAAAATTTGTTTCTGAATATCTCTAAAAAGTTGGTATACTTATGCTTATTTTGGAGGATGATAGGAGAAAAGACCAACAATTTGCACAGGCCTATTGCAAAGTCTACGAAGAGTAAGACAGAAACTAACTTAAATGGCTTCCATGTGCCTGGTACTTTATATGAGTTTTCTCATCATCTATTCCACAACCTTTTGAACTAGATCTTACTGGTTGCATTTTATGTGGGTAAATTGAAATCCACAGAGTAGTTGACAAGTCTAAGTTTGCACAGCTAGAGATCAGAGCTAAGATTTATATGTAGGTCTACCTTCACACCATCTCTCACAACATCTTAACTACTGACTTTCTGTTGGTATTTATATAAAAAGTAAGGCTTCTATTTTTAAAATCGGTTACATATATGCATACTGATGTAGAAATGTACTGGAATATTTTTTTATATGAAAAACCAAGCTGCAGAATTTTGTGTGTGTGTAGATATATACATGCATATACATTTATATAAATTATGATTGCATTTCTATAAACACACACACACCACAAACCCCTCCAGGAATGGAATGATGAGACTTTTACTTTCTCAATTATGCGTTTTTATATTTGAAAATTTGATGATTTTTATTATTTTTATGGCTGTATTTTGTAACAAGAAAAGCTTACGCAAAAACAAAACCATGAGGCCTATGAGAGATAGGGCCATATCAAATATTTATCTGTGGGAATATCAGAAAATAGATCAGAGTAGGCAAAGTCTGATTTTCAAAGAGCAAAATGACTGCCAAAACTTGACACATACACTCAGGACAACAATTCCAAATCCCAAGTATTCAAGGCTTAATTCTCCCATTTGGAAAAAATTCAGGCTCTTTGCCCTATTCCTTATCCCTCAACTAAATTTTCACCTTTATTAAACTTTCTAAATAAACTTGGACAAAGGGAAAGAAAATAGGAAGTAAAGTCTTTGTTGTTTTTTATGCACTAGGTTGAAAAGATTTTCCCTATTTCTTAATAATATTCCCCAGTGGGTACCACTGTTCATTTTCTTGAGTGAAATTCCAGGAATTTTCTGTTCATTTAAAAACATATCCTTACAATTTTATACTAGGAAAAAAATCTCAAAATGTCATCTGGTTTAAAGTTCTTGCTTCTAGTGAAAACTGTTGAAATACAATTTTTCTCTATAACTGAATTTTATAGCATTTATGAAACATAAGCAAGGATTTGAAAAATAAGTTCAGAATGCTACACAATGGAGAAATAGTCTGGGCTTAATTTTTTTTTCCCCCTGCCAACTGAGAAAGCACAAGAGAAAAGTATTTGGGTCAAAGGAAACTTTAGCTTTACATATTTAAATAAAATCATGTCCTCTGTTCCACTAAACCCAAAAGTTTTAGTAGGCAATATTGCTTGATCATAGAACATATAAATCAAAACTCTGAGTTATAATTTCACCTCTGATGATGATTTAGTGAGCCGAGGCCAGCAAAGAAAACATTTTTCCTGCTTCCTTGAGATGTACATAATGCTCTAGTTCATGTTAACATTTGTTAACACTTTTACTCCTGTCTATTTTGTAACCTCTTTCATAGAATGAAACATACTTTTTATTTTTTTAATTTTCTTTAAATTTTATTTTATTATGTTATGTTAATCACCATACATCACATCATTAGTTTTTGATGTAGTGTTCCATGATTCATTGTTTGTGTATAACACCCAGTGCTCCATGCAGTATGTGCCCTCCTTAATACCCATCACTGGGCTAACCCATCCCCCACCCCCCTCCCCTCTAGAACCCTCAGTTTGTTTCTCAGACTCCATAGTCTTTCATGGTTGGTCTCCCCCTCTGATTTCCTCCCCTTCATTTTTCCCTTCCTACTATCTTCTTTTTTTTAACATATAATGTATTATTTGTTTCAGAGGTACAGGTCTGTGATTCAACAGTCTTACACAATTCACAGCGCTCACCACAGCACATACCCTTCTAATACTGTGTTGAATAGCAGTGGTGATAGTGGACATCCCTGCCGTGTTCCTGACCTTAGGGGGAAAGCTTTTCCCCATTGAGAATGATATTCTCTTTGGGTTTTTCATAGATGGTTTTTATGATATTGAGGTATGTACCCTCTATGCCTACACTCGGAAGAGTTTTGATCAAGAAAGGATGCTGTACTTTGTCAAATGCTTTTTCTGCATCTATTGAGAGGATTATATGGTTCTTGTTCTTTCTTTTATGAATGTATTGTATCACATTGATTGATTTGCGGGTGTTGAACCAACCTTGCAGCCCAGGATAAATCCCACTTGGTCATGGTGAATAATCCTTTTAATGTACTGTGGGATCATATTGGCTAGTATTTTGGTGAGAATTTTTGCATCTGTGTTCATCAAGGCTATTGGTCTGTAATTCTCCTTTTTGATGTGGAATTTGTCTGGTTTTGGGATCAAGGTAATGGTGGCCTCATAAAACGAGTTTGGAAGTTTTCCTTCCATTTCTATTTTTTGGAACAGTTTCAGAAGAATAGGTATTAATTCTTCTTTAAGTGTTTAGTAGAACTCCCCTGGGAAGCCGTCTGGTCCTGGGCTTTCGTTTGTTGGGAGATTTCTGATGACTGCTTCAATTTCCTTAGTGGTGATAGGTCTGTTCAGGTTTTCTATTTCTTCCTGGTTCAGTTTTGGTAGTTAATACATCTCTAGGCATGCATCCATTTCTTCCAGATTATCTAATTTGCTGGCATAGAGTTGCTCATAATATGTTCTTATAATTGTTTGTATTTCTTTGGTGTTGGTTGTGATCTCTCCTCTTTCATTCATGATTTTGTTGATTTGGGTCATTTCTCTTTTCTTTTTGATAAGGCTGGCCAGGGGTTTATCAATCTTGTTAATTCTTTCAAAGAACCAGCTCCTAGTTTCGTTGATCTGTTCTACTATTCTTTTGGTTTCTATTTCATTGATTTCTGCTCTGATCTTTATTATTTCTCTTCTCCTGTTGAGTTTAGGCTTTCTTTGCTGTTCTTTATCCAGCTCCTTTAGGTGTAGGGTTAGGCTGTGTATTTGAGACCTTTCCTGTTTCTTGAGAAAGGCTTGTATTGCTATATACTTTCCTCTTAGGACTGCTTTTGTTATATCCCAAAGATTTTGAACAGTTGTGTTTTCATTTTCATTTGTTTCCATGAATTTTTTTTAACTCTTCTTTAATTTCCTGGTTGACCCATTCATTCTTTAGTAGGATGCTCTTTGGCCTCCATGTATTTGAGTTCTTTCCGACTTTCCTCTTGTGATTGAGTTCTAGTTTCAAAGCACTGTGGCCTGAAAATATGCAGGGAATGATCCCAATCTTTTGGTACCGGTTGAGACCTGATTTGTGAACCAGGATGTGATCTATTCTGGAGAATGTTCCATGGGCCCTAGAGAAGAATGTGTATTCTGTTGCTTTGGGATGGAATGTTCTGAATATATCTGTGAAGTCCATCTGGTCCAGTGTGTCATTTAAAGTCTTTATTTCCTTGTTGATCTTTTGCTTAGATGATCTGTCCATTTCAGTGAGGGGGGTGTTAAAGTCCCCTACTATTATTGTATTGTTGATGTGTTTCTTTGCTTTTGTTATTAATTGGCTTACATAATTGGCTGCTCCCATGTTAGGGGCATAGATATTTACAATTGCTAGATCTTCTTATTGGATAGACCCTTTAAGTAGAATATAATGTCCTTCCTCATCTCTTATTATAGTCCTGGTTTAAAATCTAATTTGTCTGATATAAGGATTGCCACCCCAGCTTTCTTTTGGTGTCCATTAGCATGGTAAATGGTTTTCCACCCCCTCACTTTCAATCTGGGGGTGTCTTTGGGTCTAAAATGAGTCTCTTGCAGACAGCATATTGATGGGGGTCTTGTTTTTTATATCCAATCTGATAGCCTGTGTCTTTGGATTGGGGCATTTAGCCTATTTACATTCAGGGTAACTATTGAAAGATAGGAATTTATTGCCACTGTATTGCCTGTAAGGTGACTGTTACTGTATATTGTCTCTGTTCCTTTCTGGTCTATGTTATTTTTAGGCTCTCTCTTTGCTTAGAGGACCCCTTTCAATGTTTCATGTAGGGCTGGTTTCGTGTTTGCAAATTCCTTTAGTTTTTGTTTGTCCTGGAAGCTTTTTATCTCTCCTTCTATTTTCAATGACAGCCTAGCTGGATATAGTATTCTTGGCTGCATATTTTTTTCATTTAGTGCTCTGAATATATCATGCCAGTCCTTTCTTTCTGGCAGGCCAGAAAGAAAAACTTTCTGGCCTGCTAGGTCTCTGTGGATAGGTCTGTTGCCGATCTAATATTTCTACCATTGTAGGTTACAGATCTCTTCTCACAAGCTGCTTTCAGGATTTTCTCTTTGTCTCTGAGACTTGTCAGTTCTACTATTAGATGTCGGAGTGTTGACCTATTTTTATTGATTTTGAGGGGGGTTCTCTGTGCCTCCTGGATTTTGATGCCTGTTTCCTTCCCCAAATTAGGGAAGTTCTCTGCTATAATTTGCTCTAATATACCTTCTGCC